ATGTATATATATATATATATATATATATATATATATATATATATTGAGAATTTTGTGAACAGGTTGCTTATGAAGTCCCTCCAAAGTTTTAGAAGGAAGAAGAATGCAAAGATTTCTCTAAATTTAAAACATAATAATAATTTTCGAAAACAACCTGAAAATTATTCTAATAACAAGAAAAAAAAAACTTATAAACAATCATCATATATATTTACAACTATGACTTATATTTTCAAAAGAATAACCAACCTTGATAATGAGATGGCAGGCTCATCAAAGAACTCAGCATATCTTCCTTGTGAAACATAACACCTATTACACTAAACCATAAGGCAACAACATCACACTCAGTAATTAGAAGGCCAAAAAAATGGTAAATTCCACTCACTAAGTTTGTTGGCTAACCTTTAGTATAAAATCAACAGTTCTTCTGGCATCAATCTGGCAATCATCCGGCACAAGAGCAGCTCCTCCTTCTTCCCCAACCTCCAGAGATGGTTCCCTAAATTTTAGCTCCATTGTTGTCAAGTACTCGGCCCTTACCCCAGCATTTTTGAGAAGCTTCACCCTCTCCAGCAAACTGGCCGCCTCTGTTGCTGTCCTACCAACCAAAATGCTCCCTGTGCAAGTAAATATTTGTAGCACCAGCGTGCGTTTATATGGAGAAAACAAAGAATTGTAATTGAGCCGACCATGTCATTCTTATGCTTCCTTAGTTGGATTACGTATATTAGTTAGGTATGTGCATGTTTTATGTGCTAACAGTTGTACATGTTTTCAGAGAAAAGAGAAATATTTATCCTTTAAGAGAAGACTGGAATTTAGCCTGGGCAAGTTAAGTCAGGTTTGAGTCAAGTTGTATTATCAAATCAAATTAAGATATTTATTGATCAAGTTTGAGCCCCTTTTCGTTTAAGTTGGGTTTGGGCAACCTGGTCCACAGATGGTTTATTTTATTGGATATTGGATCCAAATTTGTCCGTGGATGATACCTGACCTTACTAGCAGACAAACTTTGTGAGTGTGATCTAAAAACCAATGGGAATGGAGAAAGAGCGAGAGAGAGAGAGAGAGTGCAATCTACTAGTCAAATATATGTAATACAAGTATCAATGGTTGTCAATGATGTCAAAAAGATTCAAAATGCTCATCTTCATCTTTTATTTATAAAGATCTGAGAGCAATATGAAACACTATATCAAGCAAAAAATGAATAAAAAATACATGTTTTAGTAACTTGCTAATACAAATTGTCACGAACACATCACAATATGATTGATTGGAGGGGAGATTACTTTTCTTAACCATGATTCTCTGTCTTGTGGTGAGTTCAATAGTGGAGAGTGCATACAGGTTAGTAGACTTAGGCACGTCCATCAATGAGTCTTGAATGAAGATATATGTGATTAGTGAGTGCTTTAAAGTCATTGGCAACCTATGCTAGAGTTCTGGATCACCTAGTAGTGGAAACCGAGTGAGCTTGAGTAGCAAGGAAGGTAGGCTCTGTGATTACCTAGTAGTGATAGGGCAAGCTAAGAGTCCCCTTGAGTAGATGCTTTCATGTAGCTAAGGCGGCAACATTAATTAATAATAGTCCGCCGTGGGTGATGGTGAACAATTTTGATGGCTAGTCCTCCCTATGAATCAAGTGGGGAATTGTGTGATCCACGAGGACTCTTTGTTGTTTGTGTGGAAGGTGAATCCATTTTGAGCTTGATCTCGGCAAGCTCCTTTTTGGGGCCCCAAAGTATGAGCTATTTTATCATGATACACCAATTACCTGCTAAATATTTGAAAATGCATGCATAGGTATACATTTAGTTCATCGATTCACTTGACCCTTTGGAGAGCGAGTGACAAAAATAAAAAGTGAATTAGTGATGAGCATTAAATAGGGCTACTAAAAAATTATGGGAGAGGAAAAGCAAAATTATTGCCCTCTTTTACTATTGCCTCGGTTGTTGTGTAAATTCCCCCTAATTATAGTGATGTGACATCACTCATGTCTAGCCTCTATAAGTAATTATGCGCTAGAATCCTTCACTCCTTCGAATATTTGAATGGAGTTATAGAAAACTATGAGCGTGTTAAGAATGGATCCTGCCATGCTAGCCTTATCCAAAGTAAAATAAGGAAATCTTTTCGCCTTAGAAAAAGTGATAAGGCAAAATGTGGAGCAAGCAACCCCCACTGAGTAAATAGCTTGAAAAGAGTTCTCAAATCATGCTAGGATCTATTAAACTTGACATCACTCCCTCCACAGAGTGGGTGAATATTGAGCTTGGAATGGTGAAATTTGCTATTCTTCCGACTAAGGTAGTAAGGCCTTCTAACCCTACTGCTAAAGGCGGTGACACGGCAAGTCCCGGGAGAGTGAACCTCTCCTCCAATTCTAAGGATCTACCGCTCAACCTACGGATACAGCAGCAGGGAGCCCTTAATGTTCCCAGTGGAGACAATGCACACCTAAGAAGTTGCCTTTACTAATGTTGTGGCAACCTCCACTAGAGCCAAGTTGGCGGATCCAACTAAAAAAGATAAGAGAAACTACCTCAGGTTCTGAAGGCAAGCTTTCTATGGTGGGCGAGTGTCCTCTACAAATGAGCCAATGATCTGCGTTTTCTCAAGCAAGCTGTTCAAGTATCTTTTGAGTGAATAAGAATCCTTGACCTTGACTCAATAGGTGCATGAGCTATAAATAAAGACAACAATCTTGCATGATTGGCTTTTAGTGGTTTCTCTGAGTTTTCTTGATAAAAAATTTTCCATCACTGATCTCTCATTGTTAACCATAGAGGCGTCTCCTGCATGCGATGCTAAAATCACCAAGCCTTCAATAGTGGCAAATTATACTACAGCAGTCAAGCAAGTTGAAGAGGCAGCTGCTGAGCAAGAGAGTGTGCATGCCGATAAGTAGGAGAATCCATCCCTTCAGGAAAAAGTAGCATCTAAGAAATTGTTATATTCATTATTAATGGGCTATTCTAGCAACAGTATTCCTCAAGGACCAATAACCTTGGATATGTTGGCGAAGCGAGTCAACAATTTAAGAAAATGATGAACTTACTAGTAGTGGGAGAGATTGGTAACTCCCAAAGGGATGCCGCTTCGATACCGAGTACCCAGTTTAAGGACTTTGCAGTTCTATAGGTTGAGGTGGCGGCAACTCATGGCCTATTGAAGGCAAGTTAGTTTGTAGAAGAAGGGAAGTTTCTCTTAGGACACTTAGATGGTTTAGGGGTCCTGCTGCCTGAGATTGTGAGTGATCGAGTTTGTAGGATTTTTATGGTGATGAGCAGTCGCGCACCATCTTTATTGTATTGTAATGTGTTAACTTATTGTCTCTTATGTAAAAAATTTACTACAACATCAAGCCTTTATCCCACTATATAGGGTGGACTAAATAAATCCTTTTTCTGTATTGTGTCATATTAAGAATCAAATTCTCATTTAAATCTAATGTAGAGAGGTCATTTTTAATATTTTCTAACCATGTCTTTTTAGGTCTTCCTCTGCCTTTATTAACATAAGTCAGATTTAATACAACTATTATCCTAACCAGGTCATCGGAAGGCCACCATTTTATGTGACCAAACTATCTAAGACGACTCTCTCTAATCTTATCTTCCACTAGAGCTACTCCACATTTTCAAGTATATGCTCATTTCATATCCTTTCTCTAAGAGTAAAGCCACTCATCCACCTGAGCATTCTCATCTTTGTAACACTTAACTTAATATTATGCTTCTCTTTTAATGGCCAACATTTTGCTCCATAAAGCATTGCAAGTCTCATCACCATCTTATAGAATTTTCTTTTTAAGTTTGATTGGGGACTTTTCAATCACACAATAAGCCTGATGCATTTCTCCACTCCAATCATCCAACTTGAATTCTACTAATAATATCCCCATCTATTTCACCATCACTATGAACAATAGACCCAAGATATCTAAAATGTGTACTCTTATTAATGACTTGATTGCTCAAAATCAAAATCCTCCCACTGGATCTATTACTACTAAAATTACACTCCATGTATTCAGTTTTAGATCTACTCAAACAAAAACCTTTGGATTCTAAGGTTGACCTCCCTAATTCAAGTTTATCTTCAACTCCCTCTCTAGTTTTATCAACAAAAAGAATATCATTAGCAAAAAGCATACACCATGATACAACCTCTTGCAAATATCTAGTAAGAACATCTATAACTAAAGCAAAAAGATATGGGTTTAAGGTTGATCCTTAATGTAATCCAACTTAAATAGGAAAACACTTGGTCAAACCATCTTGTGTTTGAACACAAGTAACAGCTCCTGCATACATATCCTTAATGACTCAATATAAGCATTATTAATCCCTTTCTTTTCTAGAACTCTCCATAGGCACTACTCATGGAACTTTATCATATGCCTTCTCTAAATCAATAAATATCATATATAAATTCTCCTTATTCTCTCTATACTTCTCCATCAAACCTCACAATAAATGCATATCTTCTATAGTAGACCTACCCGACATAAATCCAAATTGATTTTGAGAAACATTAATATCATGTCGTAACCTATAATCCAAAACTCTCTCCCATAATTTTAAATTGACATATTAACTTAATTCCTCTATAATTCGCACAATTTTGTGCATCGCCTTTATTCTCAAAAATAGAAATCATCACAGTCATTCCCCCTCATCTAGCATCTTTTGTCTTCAAAATAATATTAAAAAGTTTACTACAACAACAACAACAACAACATCAAGCCTTTATCCCACTACGTGGGGTCGGCTACATGAATCCTTTTTCTCCATTGTGTCCTATAAAAAGTTTACTAAGCCAATAAATTCTTTCAACTCATAAAGATTTCCAAACCTCTATTAGAATATCATCAGTTTAAACAAATTTTTCATACTTCATTTTTTTTTAAGTCTCTATAACTTCGGTTTTACTAATACGCCGATAAAACAAAAGTTATCTTTTTATTTTCATTTAGGGTGTTAAAGTCACTTAAGCAAATCATATTCTCACAATCTTTATTGAAAAGTTTAGCAAAATATTTCATTTACTTTTATTTAATCTCCTCTTCCAATAAAAATATTTTTTTTATTTTTATGCTTAATGTACTTCACTTGAACTGAATCATTACTACTTTTATCTCTTTATTTCATTAACTTATACATTTATTTTTTGCGGTTCTTAGCGTCTAATATATTATATAAGTCATTAAAAACTAAAATTTTTGCATCGTATACTACTTTCTTAAACTCCATATAGGCATCTTTTTATCTTTCTCAATTTTCATAATTTTTCTCTAAACTAAGTTTTATAATAAAGCTTCTTATGTTTTATCTCTTCTTACAGATTTTGATTTCATCACAAACTATTTTTACTATTAAGAGTTTTTCCTTTATACTCCAAGTATATCTTTTATAATATTATTAGTATCACAAGCTACTTTTTCCAACATAATATTAGTTTTCTCATGTACATACAAAATCTTAAAATCTAGAATATTATTCTAAAAAATATTTTTGCTAGTGTTCATTAAATACCTTCATCTAAGATTAAAACAACATTTTACTTTATTTTTTATGTTATATCCCTTCAGCTTAAAATTCAAAATTAATAAGCAATGTTAGGTATATAAACTTTCACTTGAAATAACTTTATAATCTTTGCAATCTAAATAAACTATTTTTCTTAGAAAAAAATTATCAATCTGAGTTTTATTATATCCATTCTTATAAGTGATGAGATGCTCATCTTTTTTCTTAAACAAAGTATTAGCAATTGCAAAATCATAAGTTATAACAAAATTTAATAAGGTCTTACCACCTTCATTAGTCTCTCCAAGCTCATAGCCACCATAAATATTTTTAAAATCATTCACTTCTCTACCAATATGTGCATTTAAATCTCATCTAATAAAAACTCTTTCTTCAAGAGGGGTAATTTTTATATTAATTTTTCTAAGTCATTTTAAAATTTTAATTTTGAACACATATTCAAACATGTTTGAGGAGCATAAGCACTTATAATATTAATAATCTTAGGCTCTTAGCATCAACAACAATCTTTAAAGTTATAATTCAATTTTCAATTATATTAATTTTTATAATATTATCTTTCAAAATCTTATCTATAATCATACCTACACATTTCTAGTACGACTCCTATCAGAATATCATAGTTTAAATCTTAAACTATCAATCTCCTTAGTATTCTCTCCAACACATTTAGTTTTCAGAATACATAAAATAATTATCTTCCCATGAAACATAATATCTATTAATTTCATTAATTTGTTTGTAATGAAACATATGTTCAAAGTTTCTATACTAATTCAAGTTTCACAAACTAACTTCTTTGACCACATCCATCCATAATGTGGGAACCCTTGACAATGCATCCAGGCACTAGTGCAGCAACCCTTACACACTTATCGCTGCATTCATGTCATATAGCGCGTCGCTTCTAGGGAACGTCATAGCATTAACAAAATGAATTAAATGATTCATGTCATGATTATTTGACAAGATTTATATTGGTTGTTGACTACCTAATGCAACATTTACTTTTCTCATCTAGGATTTAGGACTTGACAATAGTAGCATTAAAACTTTACCAAGTAATAAAATTTTTATGTTTGAGTGAGTATTCTATATTTAATACTTTTTCTTATTATACTGTGAATACTCTATTTATGATGTTAAGGCAATCGTGATGTTTTTAATATTATGACGAATACTTTGTTTTGCAATATCGTGGCCAGCACTAATACAGGCATGCTAACTGGCGGATAGAATATTTAGAATAATTTAACATTTTTCTTCTCTCTTCATTGTGCCGAATTGGTTTCCACTCTTAGGTGCCGAGTTCATTGCTTAATCACTGAATGGTGACTTGATGCAGTTCAACGACTTCACTCTGAATGAAACTTGATGGCAAGGTGTGTGGTAATCGGCTCACAGGAAAGTATGTTCTAGGTGTGATATATCATAGAAAAATTATCTTGATCTAGCACGAATCTCGAGGCAAAAATCAAGTTGGAAACTTCAAAAATTAAATCTAGGATCACCTGGACTTCGATTTCAGCAAACTTACAGTTAAACTAAGCATCTCGTAAATACGAACCCAACAACACCAAATTCGACTCAATCCAAGCCCAAATGAGTCCAAATCAAGGACCCGAAGCGCTGTTGGAAGGATCGAACCACAATTTGGATTACCAAATGGTTTCCAAACATGACGTGCTTATAGTCGAATCGAGCGGCTCGACGAGACGAATCCTATGAGCCCAAGATTGCCGAATTCAGACACCACTAAGACCTTCAAATGTCTAACGAACGGTCCATGATCAAGGGATTCAATATCGGACGTCCATCAAACCACTCCACATTTGCCCCTGATCTCTCACCTATTTACGGGTCATGCCACTCCAGAATTCTATAAATAGACCCCTCATTTCTCTTGAGGGGGACCCAAGCAAGAAGGAAGCAAAAAGGAAGCAAGAAGGAGGAGAAGAGAAGAGAAGAAGAATAGGAGGGAAGAAACTCCTCCTCGACCACCGCCGGAATTCTGCACGACTTCCACGGGAAGCCGAAATTCTGTCCGACTTCTACGGGACGCTAGAATTCTGCCCGACTCCCAAGTGACGCCGGAATTCAGTCCGACCTCCAAGTAACGCCGGAGTTCTACCCGAATACCATCTAACGCCGGAATTCTCCTCGGCCGCCAACTAACGTCGGACTTCTAGCCGACGTCGGACCTCCGCTCGTAGCCAAGTTTTTACCCGACATCGTACTTTTGCATATTGTCAGATTTTTGCCGGACAGTTATCCGATGTTGAATTTCTGTTAATTGCTGGACTTCTATGATACAAAGTCCTTCCGACCTCCGTCGCCCGCCGACTACGGTCCTTCTGACTTATGTTGCCCGCCGACTACAGTCCTTACGACCTCCGTCGCCCGCCGACTACGGTTCTTCTGACTTATGTTGCCCGCCGACTACAGTCCTTCCGACCTCCATCGCCTGCCGACTACAGTCCTTCTGAATTATGTCACCCGCCGACTACAGTCCTTCCAACCTCCATCGCCCGCCGACTACGGTCCTGCTGACTTATGTCGCCTTCCAACTACGATCCTACCGATCTCCGTCGCCCGCCGACCACGGTTCTTCCAAATTACGTCGCACATCGACTATGGTCCTTTCGACCAAACAAACACGTCAATAGTGACTCTTTGTATTCTCATTATATGCTTCATATAATGTACATCAAGCAAGGTTTTTCCCCTAAGGAAGGGCCTCAATTGTAATCGACTGCAAATAATAGTGGATTCATTCAAATTGGACTAAGCCCCGTGGTTTTTCCCCCTTTTTTCAGAGGTTTTCCACATAAAAATATTGGTGTCTCCTATAAAAGCAACACCCTCTCTATTATCTATGTGCATGCTGGATCTTCATACAATGCTAAGACGTTGAATTATATACCTCTCTACCTCCACGAATATTCCAGGAGGCAACAAGGTGTGTATGCAGATAACTACTCGCTAGGGCGAGTGAGGAGAGAGCCGCCAAATCCTCAGGTAATGATGAAAAAGCATGGTCTAAATCCACGCAATAAATGTAGGTTTGACTCAAGATCTCTTGATAACTTGGCTTTATTTAGGGCAGTTTAATCAATTATGTTTTTGCTTTTTAAATCTCTTTTTTCAGCCATATTTTCAAGAACATCTTTTTAAAAGCATAAGATTGAAATTGCAGTGAAAACGTTATCTTACAAACACACTCTAATTTCCTAGTAACTGTTGTTTTTAACACGAAAGCAGTCAAAAAGCCGTTCCAAATGAAGCCTTAATTTTATTTTTTCTTGAAATAATTCAATTTGAGAATTCAGCGAATAAACAGTAGAAATACCCGTTCTCTTCCAACCGAGAACATCCAAGGGATCGGAGCCTTGTGCTCGTACCTCATCTGCAAGCTCCTCCCACAGCTGCTTGCTTCTTCCGGCGAGCTCCCACGTGTCGCTCCCGGGCGTACGGTACGACATCCAAACGTAACCCTGTCCTATTACGATATATTATCATCATGTAAAAAGATCAACAAAGCTCATTAGTTCTAGAAGGGAGAGATTAATGCAAACTACTGTTACAAGGTGAGTTGGTGACTACCGGCACCGGTGGCGCCGTAGCATGGCCGGTGGGCATCGACGACGACGACAGAGAGGTTTGACCGGAGAAGAAGCTGCCGGGCTATTGTAAGGCCGATTATGCCGGCGCCGATGATGACAACGTCGTGCTCGGAGGTTTGTAGGGACATGGTTTGAGGTTGAGACTTCACTTGAGAGCTTAGAGATCTCGTGAATTGATTTGGAGAGTTAAGAGATGACTGAAGAGTAAAGTGTGGTTAGCTGAGTTGGAGCTAACAATGGTTCTTGATTTCCTTCTTGCTTTGTCCTCTTTTTTTTTTCTTTTTTTTTTTAATGTTTGATTGCAAATATATAAATTTCATCAAAATTTTATTTAAAATAGATTATATTAGAATATCACAAAATTATTTTTTAGTTTAGTTGAAATTAATAAAATTTTATGTAAGAAAATAAAATTTTAAAATAAATACTTATGTTACAAATCGCAATATAAAGCACAAAATCGATTGGAACTCTTGATAGGCGTCGATATTACTAGAGGGCATTGAATTACGACATAGAGCACATAATAGTGATGCCGTCGAAGAACGTGTGTAAAGAATCATGATGAAGCTTTGTGGGGTCAGGCATCAATGAGAGCTTTGCAAGGGCGAACGATTATAGCAACTCGATAGGGCAAGCATCAAAAGGGGCTTGCAACGACACATGACATGATCAGCATAGACTTGGCAATGTAAAAGAAGAAGATATCAAGTTAAAATATTTCAAATTCTTTCAAACTTGTTGTGTGTTAAAACATTCGTGGCGATAGAGAGATGATGAGTTTAATGTCATAGTTTTTTATGAAGATCCAACACACATACAGAGATAAGAGAGAGTGGTGGAGTAATCATAACATACATCAGAATTTTTATGTGGAAATTTCTTAAAAGGAAAAAATCTACGTGGTTTTGCCCAACTGAAATGAATTTACTGGTGTTTTTTTGTTGATTATAAATGATACTGTTCCTCGTGGGAAGGCATTGGCTCAATATAGTAAATATACATCATATAGAGAACATTACATTGTTGGAGTTGGAAGAATTCAATGACATGAGAGTTGTTCTCAAGAGAACATTGGCCATGTTCGTTTGGTTGATAGAACCATAGTCAGACGATGGTGACCGAAGAGATCATAGTTTGGTAAATGATGTTGAAGGGACCGTAGTTAGGCGATGGAGGTCAGAGGTGTCTTAGTTGGGCGACTAAGGTTGAAGGGACTGTTGTCAAGCGGTGGTAGTCATAAGGACTATAGCAAGTGAGCGACAGAGATCAGAAAGATGAATGACTATAATAGGGTGACGGAGGTTGAAGGGTCATAGTCGGGTGGACCATAGTCAGCAGGTAACAAAGGTCGGATGGACTATGATCTGGTGATGAAGGTCAAAGGGACCATAGTTGTTCAATGGTTATCGGAGGACAATAGTTAGTAGAAGATGGAGGTCGAAGGGATTATATTCGGGCGATTGTGGTCCGAAGATAGCAGTCAGCAGACGACGGAGGTCAAATGAATCATAGTTGGACAACGGAGATTAGGGGGACCGTTGTTGAGCAATGGTGGTCGAAATGACTGTAGTCGGCAGGCAATGAAGGTCAGAAGAACCGTATTCAGACAATTGGGGTTAAAGGATCGTAGTCGGGTAATGGAGGTCGGATGGATCATATTTAAGTGACGTTGGTCTAAGGATCATTGTCAGCATGTGATGGAGGTCAGGGGGACTAAGTTGGGCAATAGAGGTCAAATGGACCATAATCGTACAACGGTAATCCAAATACCATAATAAGTAGGCAATATAGGTCGGAGGGACCATAGTAAGTTGAAGGAGGTCGAAGGGACTTAGGTTGAGCGATAGTGGTTTGTTTCGAGAGGTATTTTACATTTTGCTTAATCATGTTTTCAATAATTCAATGTTTTTGGGATTTTTTTTATCAAATTTATAATTTGATTTTATAAAAATATTATTTTATTGGATTATGGTAACTTTTATCTGTGTAACTTTTGATATGTTATCGATACGATTGTTTTGATCTTTTTGAGTATTTACTTAAGATTTTTTTGGGTAATTTAAAAAATAATGATTTTTATTAATTCAAAATTTCATTTTGACATTTAAAAATAGTAATTTAGTTTAGTTAAAGCTTTAGAACATTGTTATACACAATCTCTGATAATGTTGTGAAAATATGAAAACATAGTTTTAACAAACTGTAAAACATCAGGTGATGAATTATTTGACAGTCATTAAAGCATTTTTGTAGACTCTATATAATAGTACTGTGATTGTTTCAGTAGTGTAGAATATTGCACTTTATTTTCAGTGTCTGCGATTGAAATATTTGAATTGGCAAAGAGAAGGGATTCTTTTTGCGACGAGAAGGGATTATGTTGGCGGCGAGAAAGAATTTTGTTATATGTTATGTGATAAAAACTTTGAAGCCTGAGAGAATTTATGATTTTGAAGGTTGAGCGCTATTTTGATATTCTTTAATAAGGGATTTTGTTGGCAAACAGAAGAGATTATGTTGGCGATGATAATATATTATATTGTTTGTTTGTAAGTATTGGAAGTTGGAGTCTACGGACTATTATAATATTTGTTATAAGATATTTAGTTATATTTCAGTCTGTTTTAGTAGTTATTTAAATGCTTATAAAAAAATCAATATTGGTATTAGTTTTAGTTTTAGCTTTCTATACAGTACTTCAATTTCTTATTACTACAAAGCATTTTCAATCTTTTTGGTTTAAACTATTGATTCATGTTTTAGGCTACAATAGCTTATTGTGCTTTGTTAGCTCATTCTTTCTTTTGCTTTCATTTTCAAGTCAGAAAAAAAATAAGGAGCGAGCTGAGTAGTTTGATAGCAGGCTCTCCGATCTATCCTATATGTATCTCTTTTTTACTAGTTTCATTTTTACATGTTTGGCTTTATTTTATTGTACTTTCTGTTGCTAAGCGCTCTAGTAGATAGACCCCAAATTATACATGTATTTTTGGATTATATATAGAAAAATTATTTTTGAGATTTAGGCTTCGTTTGGGACAGCTTTCTTAAACTACTTTTTAGTACAAAAATTTTTTGTACTAAAAAGCTGTTTTAGAAAGTAACAAAAAATATGTCCTTACTCCTTAGTCTTCCGCTTTATATTGTTTTGAAGTACTTTCTCTATATTGTATTTAGTAATGGCTCTGTTGTAAAATTTTCACGGTTCTGCTCCTTAAATTATTATCATTTTAAGCTCCTGCGTAATTTCAATTATTAGCTTGCTCGTTTTAAAAATTTAGCCCAGGCAGAATTAGGCTAACAAAAAGCGATGAAGCAAAAGGAACAAAGAGGGAAGCAGCTTCAAAGCAAGGATATAAAAAAAATAAATAGATTAGTAAAAAAAAAAATTTCATTTTCAATTTGGGACTAATTTGATCGTAAATTCACAAATAATAATATATACAAAGTCTCGAATCCAATCTCTTGACCGAGACTAAGCTTCAATTAAAATATTAAGATTAATACAATTTAAATAATTATTTTATATATACAACAACATACATATTTAAAGAAAACCTTTTTGTTTTCACCTTTTTTATATGGGAATACAATATAAAAGAAATATACTATAAAAAGAATACATTTAGAAATGTTAAGGAAATTTAGAGTAAAAAAGCATGCATTGTAAATGAACTATTTGAGTTATTAGGATGAGTGTAAAATAAATGCATTACGATTATGATTATTTTTTAGCATGAAATAAAATGAATGTAATGCAAATTTCAAAGATAGCGAGTGACATCGGACCGGATGGGGCTCGATGAATCCACGTTGATGATCCGGTGGCCGTGGTTGGGCGCAGATCCAAGAACTCCTTGGAAGAAAATAATCCACCATCATCTGAGATTAATATCAGGATGCAGGATACAAAACAGAGTAAAACTACTTAAATCTTATTCATCTCAACCATCCTCTATTACAAACGTTGCTACCTATTTATAGACAAAAGTAGTCACCTATTAGGCTACACATAATCAAAAGCAAGCACTAAACCTATGTAGCTATATGAGCTACCAAATTGATTAAAACTAGCCTGAAGTTAATACAATCAAACAGCTCAGCTCCGACGTCTGTGAGTACTCATCGGCGGTGGAGGCGTCGCCAACGATGTCATGCGACTAGCAATTACTGGCTGGAGGAAGCGGTTTGGCGGCATCGGCCTACAATGGTGGCAATCGCAGCAAGCGGGTGGTTGTGGCTGTTGGTGACAAGGTAGCTTGCTTGCGATGAAAAAAATTTCACTCAAAATTGAACAAGTTTACTTTTCATAAGAAAATGAATTAAATAATATTCAACACAATCAGAATACTTTACCTTTGCAATTCATTTCATTTAATCTAATATTAATATTTCCAAGACTTCTGCCAAAAAAATACTTTACAATCTTTTTACTTAAACTATCCAAATCGCCACTTAATAAAAAAAATTTAGGTCATGAGCTTAAGCAATATTGTATTTCTCAATAAATTTGAATCCCAGATTCCACACTTTACCCAAAGATTACTCCCAAATTTTTACATCTTCAGGCTTCAGGCTCTAACTACAAGATAAACCATTAATACATGACTCTTAATGGGAGCTTAAACCAATAAATTGACCGTTGACCATTGACCAGAAACTGTTGACTATTCTTTTTTAGCCCCTCGGAAAGTAGTCTGCCGGTTAAAAACCAACAGAGGCCAGATATTCCAAAAGGAACGCCTAAATATCAGGAGATATTTCTTTATACATAAAATATAGAAAGTTATAAACAATTTCAGTAATAAGCACACTAAACGATCTATTAATTAGAAAGAGTAAATCAGAGGTTTCCTTTTGACAATTTTTTTATTATTTTTTAAAATAATTTTTTGAAATAAAAATTTTAATTTAAAAAAATAAAACATTAAAAAAATCATCCCAAATGAAATCTAACTCTTCACTAATTCAAAGGACAAAACGGCAAATTCATCGACACAATCAATAATTTTTGAGACTGGACAAGAAAGCCGTTCGAAGACCAACCCAAATGTGTCACGTCAGTGGTGCCGAACTATACCGAGTAGTATCGAGCATATGGATGACGTGGCACATTCTAATTGGCCTCCAACGACGTTCGGTGTTTGCACAAAATAATTAATCATCTTAAAGACATTTTTATTTGTGATTGGTAAAACATCAATTTTATTAATGAAAAAAAAAAACCAATTCTAAAAAAATAACAATAACAAATTTTCATTTTTAATGCTTTGGAATAATATTCATCTCCCTCAATCTTCCAATCCATCTCTTCACACTGTCCATTGTATCCACCCGTCGATCAAACCCGAAATCCCGACTCTTTCGCATGCAACTCACCATCTCGAACTCGAAGTTAGTCATCGCGTACAAATACTCAAAGTTCGCGATCTCGTCCAACTTCGTCCGCACCAACTCTTCCTCCTCCACGATCTCATCCCACACGTCTACTTTTCCCTTCATCGTCACCACCCACTCCCAACCTTCCCCACCTCTCGCCAAGTGTCCTACGCCAAACTCCCCGGCCACCACCTCCCACAAATTCCTCCACGCAAACACATCGCCGTTGGTGCAGTTGAATGCTTCGTTCCCTACCACCGCATTCCCCGCCGCCGCCCAGATCTGCTGCTCGGCCAGCAGGCCGGCGTCCGACGCATCGCAGCAGAGATTACGCCACGTGTAATCTTTTCCAGGGTAGAGGAGTGGGCCGCCCTCGTGGCGGCATATGAGCGCGTAGGCCGCGAGGGTGAGCACCAGATTGTACTCGCTCCGGGCCGAAGCTCCGAGAATCGCGGAGGGGCGGTGGACCGTCCACGTCAGGATAGTGCGGTAAGATTCAAGCACATCTTCGAGCGCGTAGTAGAAGAGGGGGTGGGCCCCGCGGGGGGAGTCTTCTCGGAAAGGAGCGGGGGTGGCGGGGCTGCGGCCGGCGGCAGGAAGAGGTGGAAGGTAGTGCATGGAGCCGGTTTGGAGTGCCACGTGGCGAAGGTTGGGGAGGGATTGAAGGACGTTGGAGAGCATGGCGGCGTTGTCGGATGGGGTGGCGGCGGCGGTGGAGGCGACCCAGAAGAGGTGGGTGACGTGGAGGGAGAGAGGGGCGAGGGTGAGGAGGGTGGAGGTGGGGTCGAGGGCGTCGAGTTGGAGGAAGCGGTGGATGGTGGTGAGGGGGAACCACGGCGGTGGAGGGCGCCGGGCTGCGCCGTAGACAATCCAGGGGACCCCCGGGGAGGAAGGGTGGCGTAGGGATTCTGCGAGGCTGAGGCCGGTGATGCCGGTGACTCCGACAATCAGTGCGACATGGGACGGGGTGACAGCGGTGCCGACGGTGGAGGTGGGGTGGTGCGGCTTCTCTTCGATCATGTTTGCCGTGTTATGGAAGGTTTGATGTATATATTAATGGAGGTGGTGGGATTGAGCTATTGACATGATGTATTAAAATATATAATTTATTTATTTATTTAATATATTGATCTGATATTTATTTATTTGTTAAATAAAAAATTATAACTTCATTGCCTTGCAGGTTTCTTCATAAGCGATCGCATATAAATATATAATGCAAACAAATACGATTCAAAAGGAAAATTCTATCTTTATGTTTTTCCGTATCATCATCGTTGGCGTTGTAAAACAGGCTTTCAAATTGAACACATATTTTGGCCACATCCTCAAGATAATTGAAAAAATAAAGGGAAATTTACATACATACCACTATATAGCTATTATTTTACCTATCTAACACATTCTTTATTAATATTACATGTATACCACTTAAATCTCTATTTCACAACATTTCTACCACTCCA